TGGGTTTTAGCCCACGAAAGCTTATGCTCAAATAAATGTGTTAGTCTCTAAGGTGCCACAAGTACTCCTAGTCTGTATCCGCAAAAAGAACATGGTTACCACTCTGAAACCTGTATACAACTATATTTCAGAATGTTTTGAAGATTAAAAAAAAGGAAAAGAAAAGTGTTGTTTACCTAAAAAAACTGCAAACTTAATTTTTTGCACTGATTTTTCACTTAATTTTTTTTTTCTAATCAGCCCTGATAAATTCCTGGGAAACTTTAAACAAGATAAAAACTGAAAATGAAGGGTCTTGTGTATTCAGTACATCTAGTTATTGACCAACACATTTTTTGCCTTTCGCTGCTGAAAAGACTCTATACTAGAGACTGGTTTTTCCATGTCTACTTGTCCTGGTGAATATCTTATTGCTATTGACCAATGAAAAATGCTTCCAAAGAGCAAAGCTTTTTGCCTTTGGAATCAACCAGGTGGTATAAAACAGCAGGTCTATTAAAAAAGCAATCGTTGGGGAGATTGCCTGCAAAATATTAAATCCACCTCACTCAGGGTCAGAACTGCAACTAATGTAAATCAGTATAATATCAGTGAAGTCAGTAGAGCGATGCTGATTGAGGAACTGGCCCTTTGTGCACAAGTTGAACACTGCTGAATTACCAGGTTACTCAGTATACTATAGAAAAAGTGTGAACGTTGCCAACAAAGTGCGGTTAAATGTAAGCTTGTTTGGCGAGTATTGTTGTCTCCTTCTTTGATTATGGTTATGAGAGAGCATTTTTATTTAAAAGATGAATGTGTATCGATTTTTCCAGCCTATTAGTCCTCCCTTCTGTGAATATGCGCAATCCTGATAAGCAGGCTAAGGAATCCAGTGGTTGTGGGAGCCCTTTGTTAAGCTTCTGGGAACATATTGCTGCTACCAAGAACAGTCTTGAGGTTTTATTTCTTAAAGAGACACTGTCAACCTGAAAATCACACTTCTGTCTGATGTTTTACTTGCTATTGTTACAAGTAACACCTTATGTTTTATAAAACGCTAACAGACTAGAGGAAAAACAAATCTCATTTTAGTTGTCCATTTGCCAGCACTTTGTGTATAGTTCTGCTTCCCCTGTTGTTTTTCGTGGTCCTTTCACACAGCAACAGAGGAGGGAAATGTTTTTTAAAATAGGACAAATTGGTTGTGAAGCCACAAAAATTCAGACAGGCTCAGAGACAGACATTGTAGTTGAAACTTTTTTTAGCGCTTTTAAAAACTGACTAGATTTAAACTGACAATGTCCCTTTAAGATTGATTTGCTTGTATGAGACCCATCTCATTGTGACAGCAAACTATTCTAGCATATTTAATGGAAACAATAAATCTGGGGAAGTTCATACATTTTATGCCATCCTTATCAGGGAGTTTGTTATGAAGAAGCAAGTAAAGCATCCCGAAGAATTCCCCAGGGTGTAATATGCTGATGACTGAGTGAACCAACTTTGTAAACCATTTAAAAGGGCCATCACTTCAACTTTACAGCTAGCAGTGGCGAATGTACTAAGTCATAAATGTTAATGGCGCAGCCGGAGCTAATAAATGACAATATATAAAATGAGGTGACAAAAAAAAAAACCCAAAGCTATGTCTGCTGCTTCCTTTGTATAAAATCTAGGATAGATTAATACAGATACAAAATTTCTCCTGTTCAGTCCCTAAAATTGTCTTCTGAAGTAGCATAATGTTTCCAGGACAGCATCCCCAGTCACTTCTAAAGGTGAATTTATCTCTATCTGAAAACAGAAATGAGTGTGTATCTTGCTCTTATATTGTGTCCATCACGGCTTTCCGTTGCTGGTGCATTTTAAAAGCTGCAGTCAAGGAATATGAAAATCCTGCATTTTGTATTTGATAGGATTCTCCTGCAGTATTCCCTCTTGATTCCTTCAGGTTGAATAGCATGCTTAACAGTGCCTGTGAGTAAAGATAGGTAGGGAGCTATGATTTTAAAAAATGGTGGCCAAGGATCCTGACTGATACAAATGACCTCACTTGGGCTGGCATGCTAACCTCAGCCTCGAGGGCCTGATCCAAACCCTGTTGAAATCAATTGGAGCCTCCCCGTCGACTTCTTTGGGCTTTGATTCTGGGCCTGAAGCAGAAACTGACTCAAAGAAACATCTTTATAATCAAGATTAAAATGTTAAACCCGGATCTTGCGGTCCTCATGAATGCAAATCCCAGTGGCTATGACAAAAGCTATACGAATTCAAGGGCTCCAGGATCAGGCTCTAATTTCTTATTACTGCTGAAAGTACACAATGCATCAGGTTTGTCCCAACACTGAAAGCAACTTCACTTGCCACTGAGCAGCAGCTCCTATAGATCTGGTTTTGGGGAAGTTTAGTCAGAACTTTACCACTAGAGGGCACTAATCACCTTCGTTACTTTAGCTCTGCAAAACTTTGAAAAAGAGGGAAAATATTCTCCCTTCAAAAGTTCGTTTATAACAGGATTCAAAAAGATCTAGATACATTCATGGAGGATAGCTCCATCAATGGCTAATAGCCAGGATCGGCTGAGGTGGTGTCCCTAGCCTCTATTTGCCAGAAGCTGGGAATGGGCGACAGGGGATGGATCAGTTGATGATTACCTGTTCTGTTCATTCCCTCTGAAGCACCTGGCATTGACCACTGTCAGAAGACAGGATACTGGGCTTGATGGACCTTTGGTCTGACCCAGTATGGCCGTTCTCATGTTCTTACTAGAGTTACTGTAAAGCACTGTATTGCAAGGATCCAGTTTTTGATTGACAGTATATACTATGCATGCATCCTAGCAAATATTCTGTAATTCCAAACTGTAGTTCTATTGTTGTGTTGCTTGTTATTTAGATCCGAAAGGCAGTTCAAATATGCTAGCACTAACATATGCCCACTTATGCATCTAGTGGTTCCATGTCTCTTAGGTTTGGTTGGGATGTTCCTGTGATCCTGAGAAATTCGGAAGAAATCGAATCCAGCATAAGAGTATCCAAAAAGCAGATGAGACAAGTGAAGAATCCTTTTGGCCTGGAAATTCCGCATCCTGCTGCAGTTTCCATAACAAGTCAGTGGATTTTTTTTCTGTTCGGTTTTATTCAGTGCCCTTTCCCCACCTATCGCTCCCAGCCCTTACTTTCATTGCCATAACGTGTTTCCTTACACAGTCGCCATAGAAATAGCTATATTGGTGCAGCTTACCAAAACGTTGTGGGTTTTAAAGTGGCACTGTCAATAGTGTGAGGCTCAAAAATTAGATTTTTTTTGAGTGATATAAATTTTATTAATAAAACCTGCTCTAGTGCCAAATATTTTCAGTGATAAAAACAATTGGAGATGATAAAATACTGGACACAACTTCATTCATTGTGAAATCCATCCCATCCACTTACAATCTAAAGAACTGGGCCCCATGCGGGTGAATTGCAGCGAGGCAGGGGATTTGTGCCCTTCTGCACCAATTGGGAACAGTGAGCTCAGCTGATGAGCAGTTTATGGGCTGGTATAGGAGCCCCTTCATGCCCCTTGGACAAAGTGTTGGGGCAGCTGGATCTATATAAATGCAATGCCAGGTCTCAGCCCCACCCCCTTACTCCTAATCTCCTCCTGTATGCCTGTCCACACCAGCCAAAGAAGAAAGATATTTGGATGTGCTTGTGATGTAAACCCAAGTGGCGGCTTGCAGTGTGTTTGGGTTTTTTTAAGTCCTGCTTTGTTCAAACATCCAGTCCATTCCAGAGCCGCCGCAGAATTCCGGAGATCCTCTCCCAGCCTGTGTCAGAGTCGGGCAGCAAACCTGTAAAACCTTCCTGTATGCAAATAAAAAGCGCAGGAGCTCAAGTGTCTTCATCCCTTTTCCCACAAAGAGTCTTGGCATTACGGGGCCGGAATTTCCAGAAGCACCGACATCTCCCATTCAGGCACCAGAATAATTGATCAGTGTTTCAAAACAGCTCAGCATATTGGGTGTTGGATGCTTCTCTAAATCTGACCATATTTGCTCCTTAAGTGGGGGCTGAGCTCTGAAAATCTGTCCCAAGCTGTGGGTGCTGAGTTCTTGAAAGTCTGGCCTACACTTCTTTTTAAAATCTGTCCCTAATGGCTAAGTAGTGCTGTCTCCTGCACTGATAACAAGTGGGGAAAGAAACATGGCACATAGTTTCATCCCCACTGTGCACACGCAATAGGGCCTGATTCTTCCATAGAGCACAGGAGCATGCTAGGATGTGGGTCTAGTTAAATATCATTTTCCAAACGGCATAGTCTTTGGGGTAGGAGTCATACTCAGCTCCCTAAGAGAGCTAGTACATATAATGCTGTCAGCAGTAAACCTTACCCTGCATGAGGTGCCCATGGAGCAGCAAAAGGCACCTCATGGCCTTCCCCTTTTGAGTGCTCTAAATTAAAAAAAAAAAATCTGGGTACTGGCATTGCTTTCCCTCTGCTGCCTTTAAGGAATTACGGCTGGTAAATTCAGGATTCCTGTATACTGGTGAGCTGATGAAGCTTGCATTGTGTAGGATGCATTTTCTTTTCATGCCCTTCTATGTTGTTCTCTAAGGGGGTATAACACTGACACCTGATTGTCTGGAAGACTGTATCCTTACATGCTACTGGGGATGCAGTGTTCAAAAACTACACGAAGCTTTGCAGAAACACGTCTATTGCTTCAGAATAAAGACTCCGCAGGCACTAGAAGACGCTCTCTACGGCGAATACATCTATCGACAGCAGTATTTGTATCCTTTTATTTAAAAAAAAATATTTTGACAAACGATGCTAATTTTCTGGCACGCTGAGAATTGAGCCTCATGAGCAGTCTGCAGTTTTTGGCACCGTGTATTTATGAATGAATAAGATTGAGAATACTCTTAGTGCAAGTGCCACATTTGTCTTCAATTGCAGTGACATTGATTGTTTTCCTTTACACAAATAAAGCATTAAAAAAACTGACAAGGAAGAAAAATACTGTCAGTTGCCAGAAGATGCTCAAATTGCAGGCTTTGGCCGAGTGCCTAGATCTCGTTACCCACTGGTAGCTTTGTTGACTTTAGCTGACGAAGAAGACAGAGAAATATACGACATTGTGAGTAATTTTAGAATGTATGGCAGGGCACTGTACTGATGTGTTTGGATGCTTCAGAACATACAGTAGGATTGAGTAGAAAGACTGGCTTGCTCTTCTCGTGTTGGCTGAAAACAGAATGTAGGCCTCACCTCTGCACCAATGATGGCTCCCTAAACAGAGGAACCTGATGCTCCTGCTGTGCATGGGGTAGGGATGAATGTATGTGTGGACCAGTCAGGAAGTGCTCACAACACAGAGCTCATATCCGTGAAGGTCTTTGTGTGCTAGCACATTGAAGTAGGGCATGAGGGCTAAAGAAGTGTCAGGCCCAGGTATCAACCACTGCAAATCCTTCTTTCCCCTACCATATGGAGTGTTGTGGAGCCTTTGATTTGGTTTAGCCTTTGTAACTTCTGTGGGTCAAGAAGAGGGATTCACCCCAGTACCTGGCAGAACTATTTGGACTGATCTCTGGGGAGAGGATTAGGACTGTAAGAATTGCCACATCAGATCAGACCCGTTGTTCATCTTGTCCAGTATCCTGTCCTTGACAATGGCAACACTGGATGTTGCAGAGATAGTTGTGAAAATCCCACAGTAGACGGATACTCAGTAATCTACTCCCCATGAAAACCTTCTCCTAATTCCTAATAGTTAGAGATTAGCTTAAATGCTGAAGCAAGAGGTTTAATATCCCTTTCAAAACTTTTTTTTTTCCACAGAGGAATTGATTCTAGGTCCTGAATGTCCAATGTGGAATATGTGTATTTATCCAGTGTCTTTCTGAGTTTAAATGTTATATTTTGTTCCAGTAGCTTTAGGTGCATGAACACTAATGTATATCGAGGCATAGACATTTGAAGGCAAACTCCCCAATACGCTTGACCTTCTCTACATACTAATATAGAAATCAATCATGGCTAAAATAATACCCAGGAAAACTTACATATTACCTTTTCCAACTATTCCTAACCCTCAGCTTCCTGCTACCCCACCATAAAGGCCTCAACAGAAGAATGTATCCAGCTCCTCCCCCAGTCAGTACATCCAAGTATGCTTATAATTCAATTTAGTTTAATAAAGGTAAAATGTAGATTTAACAAACTTGAAAGAAGGTTTCTTAAATTAACATGAGAAAGCTGGATTGTTTAACATGACATTTTTTGCACCACTTACCAGGGGAGAAACCCACTTTATTTTCCTTTTTTTTTTTTTCTTTTGTAGAAGTTTTTCTTCCCGATCCTTGTCATTGTCAAACACCCTTCAATTGGCCAAAGCAGCAGAAGCAGAATCCACTTGTACATTAAAAGCAGAAACAGATTCTAGACTTTTTCATGGTCCAAATGGAAGGATTGAATGTAACTTTGATGCAAAACTTCAAAAATATAATCACTAAATGAAAATGGTAAATGCTGAAATATTCTTAATCAAAAACATTTTTGATATGTAAAAATCTTAAGGAAACAATTTTATATTTAAGTCTAACAATACATCCAAGGTAAACCTCTGGTATGTTCCCCTGCAAACTCATGATTGTTTTTTTTAATAGCTGTCACACAACTGGCATTTGTTGGTACATAAATAATGTGTGGTTTTTTTAATTGAGCATGGGATTGTAGGAATCATGAGTTTTCATGCATGAAAGGTCTCATCTATGTGGAGAAAGTGAAATGTATTTATCAGAAATCACAGCTAACACATTTAAAATATGTTTATTATTTAAAGGACCACCAAATGTTTAAAAGACCACAGTGGGTTGACCATGACCTGACCCAATTTTAAATGCCACTGATATTGTCTACAATAGTTAATTTATAATAGGTAGTGTTAACTTAAACACATTAGTTAATATGTTCTCCGTGTAGACAAGGCCCAGGAGGGAGAATCCTATATAACGATGATACAGCCTGTCATTCCTGTGTTGTTCCACTTCATTACTCACCAATCCTGGTGTGTAGCAATGGCCTGAAATTCATAGAATCGTAGGAAGGGAGAGGACCTCAAGGGGTCATCTAGTCCAGTCCCCTGCACTCATGGTAGTACTAAGTATTATCTGCTAGACCATCCCTGACAGGTGGTTGTCTAATATACTCTTAAAAATCTCCAATGATGGAGATTCCACAACCTCCCTAGGCAATTTATTCCAATGCCTAACTACCCTGATAGGAAGTTTTTCCTAATGTCCAGTCTAAATAGCCCTTGCTGCAATTTAAGCCCTTTGCTTCTTGTCCTATTCTCAGTGTTTAAGGAGAACAATTTTTCTCCCTCCTCCTTGTAACAATCTTTTAATGTACTTAAAAACTGTTGTTGTGTCTTCTCCAGATTAACAAACCCATTTTTTTCAATCGTCCCTCATAGGTCATGTTTTCTAGACCTTTGATAATTTCTGTTACTCCTCTGTGGACTTTCTCCAATTTGTCTACATCTTTCCTCAAATATGGTGTCCAGAACTGGACACAATAACTCCAGTTGAGGCGCAGAGTAGAGCGGAAGAATTACTTCTCGTGTCTTGCTTATAACACTCCTGGTAATACATCCCAGAATGATGTTCACTTTTTTTTGCAACGGTGTTACACTGTTGACTCATATTTAGCTTGTGGACCACTATGACCGCCAGATCCCTTCCCGCAGTACTCCTTCCTAGGCAGTCATTTCCCATTTTGTATGTGTGCAACTGATGTTTCCTTCCTAAGTGGAGTACTTTGCATTTGTCCTTATTGAATTTAATCTTGTTTACTTCAGACCATTTCTCCAGGTTGTCCAGATCATTTTGAATTTTAATCCTGTCCTCCAAAGCACTTACAACCCCTCCCAGCTGGGTATCATCTGCAAACTTTATAAGCATACTCTCTGTGTCATTATCTAAATCATTGATGAAGATATGAAACAGAACTGATCCCAGACCCAGAACTGATCCCTGCAGGACCCCACTTCGTAGGCTCTTCCAGCTTGACTGTGAACCACTAATAACTACTCTCTGGGAACGGTTTTCCAATCAGTTATGCACCTACCTTATAGTAGCTCCATCTAGGTTTTATTTCCCTAGTTTGTTTATGAGAAGGTCACGCGAGACAGTATCAAAAGCCTTACTAATATCACGATATACCACATCTACTGCTTCCCCCGATCCACAAGGCTTGTTACCCTGTCAAAGAAAGCTATCCGGTTGGTTTGACACAATTTGTTCCTGACAAATCCATGCTGACTGGTTACTTATCACCTTCTTATCTTCTAGGTGTTTGCAAATTGATTGCTTAATTATTTGCTCCATTATCATGGCTAGATGGGTTTTTATTGAATTGCTCTCTTTAAATATATCAAAGGGATAAATACCAGGGAGGGAGAGGAATTATTTCAGCTCAGTGCTAATGTGGACACGAGAACGAATGGATATAAACTGGCCGTGGGGAAATTTAGGCTTGAAATTAGACGAAGGTTTCTAACCGTTAGAGGGGTGAAATTTTGGAACAGCCTTCCGAGGGAAACGGTGGGGGCGAAAGACCTCTCTGGCTTCAAGATTAGGCTAGATAAGTTTATGGAGGGAATGGTTTGATGGGATTACGTGATTCTAATCAATTAGGCAATAACGGCCATCGCTGGTAAAATGAGGGTCTGGCTAGAGAATCTTGCCTGTATGCTCGGGGTTCTGCTGATCGCCATATTTGGGGTCGGGAAGGAATTTTCCTCCAGGGTAAATTGGCAGTGGCCCTGGAGGTTTTTCGCCTTCCTCCGCAGCATAGGGCAGGGGTCGCAAGCTGGAAGATTCTCTGCGACTTGAAGTCTTTAGATCACGATCTGGAGACTTCAACAGCAGAGTTAAGGGAAAGTGGGGGGATCAGCTTTTATGGCCTGCATCATGCGGGGAGTCAGACTAGATGACCATATTGGTCCCTTCTGACCTTAAAGTCTATGAGTCTATGAATCACTTGCTATTTACACAACATAGGTAAAATGAAGCAACCGCATGGGCAGAGTGGGATCCAAATAACCATGTTTACTAACTGTATATGAGATGCAATGGCCAGCTACATATGGGATTAAATTAATAGAGAATTAAAGGATAGGAATATAATGCCAGTGAACATGGTTTTATGGAAGATAGGTTTGTTTGACAAAACCTATTTCGTTCTTTGAGATTACAAGTAGATGTAATCTACTTTCTTTGTAAATTGTGTGACTTAGTACTGCACAACGTTCTGATTTAAAAAATTAGGACTATACAATCTCAGAAAAGTACACACTAAATGGATTAAGAACTGGCTGCAGATCTCCAAAAGTAGTTGTCAATGGGGGTGTTTCTGGAGGGATTCCAAAGGGATGGGGACTAGGCCTGATGCTATTCAAAATTTTATCAGGGACTGGAAGTAAATATAAAATGTGTGGATGTCACTCTAGCCTTTTATTTTATTTAAAGTGAATTTAGTAATGTTGTATTACACCACTGGGGGTTCGACTCTGGTGGCTACAGTTTCAAGCTCAGAGTGAACATCACCTCTGCTGTCTGCTTCAGATTTAGAGCCTCTAGGAACACATAAAGACCAGGGATAGTGACCCCACATATATTCACACGTATAAGGTCTAGTCTGCTTTACAAATTTTATTAAAGTTACAATTAAGGTTATGATTAGACATGCATATAGAAATCCTATACAGACCTATGCTAAAGTTACAAAGATAGTCATACTCACATCCTTAACGATATTCTTAGGGTCTGATGGATTCCTTCCAATTGATCATCAGTGGAGGGATAATTCCTGCTGGTGTTTTTCCGTAGGCAACTCATTTTACCCAGTCTGGGAGCCCTATTTTATCTTCTGATCCTAACTTCACCTAATACTCTGCACATGTGTATGAAGGTGTCCACCCTCTTTTTCCTTATTTGCATTGTGTCCCCTAAGAATACTAGGGAACCCCATTTTTCATAGGTTGTTTATAGATCCTTTTGTTCTCATTAGCATTTACGCACATCGGTTAGGGCATTTGTTAGAAGAAATGTGACTACCGGGTACCTTGTAGTCCAAAATTAACTTTGCAGTTAATTTTTCGCAATGCCACTCATTGGCACATCTTTTCCCGTAATCTTGTGGCATTGGGTTATTCTTTGGTCACTATCTTATGTCAAGCATTGCTTAAGCCTCTGGCCTAGAATGGCTAAGCTAACATTTTATAGGCCTCAGCCTGTAGGCCTTACATTTCAGTCCTACTTACTCAGGTGCCTAATACATACTTATCCCTTCTGACTACTGGTCAACTTTATACTTGGATAATTCTACTCTTAAATCTATTCAACGTACAATGACTATAAATGACATGACATGTTAGTTAATCAGAATATCACACAATAAATAAACAATAAATAACAATGAGGGCAGGGGAATCATACAGAGCAGTCTGGATTGTTTGGTAAGCTGGGCCCGTTCAAACAAAATGTGTTTAAATGCAGCCACATGCAGATAAGGAATGCAGCTCATACCTACTGGAAAGCAGTGACTCCGAAAAGGATTTAGGGTTTACAGTGGGCAAGCAACTTAACATGAGCTCCCAGTGCCAGGCCGTGACAAGAAGGGTTAATGTGATCCTTGGATGTATAAACACGGGAGTACTGAGTTAGGAGTAAGTGAATGATTTTTACCTCTGTGTACTGCATTGGTGAGACCAATAACTGTCCACATTTTAAAAAGGAAGTGGAAAAATTGGAGAGGGTGCAGAAAAGAGCCACAGGAATGATTTGAGATCTGGAGAAAATGCATTAGTGAGAGGCATAAAGAGCTTAATCTTTCTGATAAGCTGAAACTGACTGAGAGTTGATTTGATTACAGTGTGTAAGTACTTAGTGGGGAGAAAAAAATACCAAAATGCTCTTAATGTAGTGGAGAAAGCAGAACAAGAACCAGTGTCTAGAAAACTGAAGCCAGAGAAATTTAAATTAGAAATTAAATACAGATGTTAAGCAGTGAGGGTGATGGTTAAATCTGCTAAGGGGAGTGGTGGATTTTCTATATCTTAATGTCTTCAAGCCTGGTTGCCTTTCTGGAAAATATGATTAAGCCAAAATGCACATTATGCTTTAGTCAAACAAGTTATTGGGCTCAATAATGGAGTAACTAGGTGAAATTTAACAGCCTGTAATATCCAGGGAGTCAGCTAATGGTCCCTTCTGGTCTTAAACTCTATGAATCTATATACACTGCTGCTTCTCCTGGGTTTTTTAGCAGCTTCTGAAACACAGAGGATAGTGAGAACCCTAACAGTATGTCCACACTGTAGTTAGACACCCATGGCTGGCCCGTGCCAGCTGACTTGGGCTTGCGGGTCTCGGGCTGAGGGGCTGTTTCACTGCAGTGTAGACTTCTGGGCTCGGACTGCAGCCTCAGCTCTGGAACTCTCCCACCTCGCAGGGTCCTTGGACTCAGGCGGGAGCCCAGGCTCTAGGTCCCTGCAAGGTGGGAGGGTCCCAGAGGTGAGGCTGCAGTCCGAGCCCAGAAGTCTACACCACAGTGAAACAGCCCCGCAGCCCAAGACCCGCAAGCCTGAGTCAGCTGGCACGGGCCAGCTGTAGATTTTTAATTGCAGTGTATATACACCCCCAGAGGGTTTGCATACTATTTTAAGGGATACTACTCAATATATTCCACTGTTCTATTATATATTTTTTTTCTTGTGAACTAAAACATAGTTTTAATAATGCAGCTGTAGACCAGGTCCCATTTATTAAGCGGGGATCTATGTAATAATCATTGCTTATTGCAAATAGTGCAACTACACAGTGTCGAATAGAACTAGGACTATTGGCTCTTAAATTCTTGTTATCTAATACCAAATCTGTCATCCTGAGTACAGGTCTGTTGCATCTTACGAGCATTTAATATGCGCGATTTCAGCTTTACGCGGTCGACAAAAACAAAATGAGAAAAATAACAATTTTAATACTGTACCCGTAGTGCGGGCGATTCCGCCCTCCATTACACTCGTAATTTTGACTATACGCAATTTTCGCTTTACGCGCTGACTGCGGAACGTAACCCCAGCGTAAGATGCGACAGACCTTTTATTAGGGACATCTTGATGCCAAAACTAAACAAATGGATCACTATTAAGATGTAAAATATCCTGTGATTAAAAAATGAGGCTCTAGCTAGCCCTGGGGGATAGTAAATGTGATTAGTATAAATACATGTGTTTAATTCATTTAATCTCTGCATGCTTTATATTTGCATTAGCTAACTAGAGGTATCCTAAGTGCATGTCTGATCCCCAAGCTTGTTAAATAACTTTAAACAAAAAACATCTTGTAGATTCCTTTTTCTTCCGAGAGCCTTGGAATTTGCAATAATATTGGGCTTCTCTCTCTTCTTTACAATCCATTATAGTTGGTTGGTTCTTTTCTTGGCTTGAAAACAATACATAAGCATAAAATACTATTATTGTCAGCAAAGTGACTGTAAAAATCAGTCTGTGGTTCCATATCTTGTCCTTCTCAGTGACTTTTATGTCCTGTATTTGCTCTGTTTACAGGCTGAATGATGATACCTCTAAATGCCAGCTGGGGTCTGAAAACCAACCTCTGAGTGTTTTGTGGTAGCAAGGAGAACACAAATAGGAAAGTGACAGTGGAGGTGTTCTCCCTTTACATCATCAGTAACACATTCTGCAGTCAGAACTGAGCTGAAAAGGTTACTGCTATTGTCCAAGGCAGGATAGAATCCAGCCACAGAAGAGCAAGTCATATTGGACTTGTACTATATACGGTCCTTTAAGGCCAGATTGTGATTGGCTTTTACTAGGTACTCAAGGAGTTTCCCTCCCTCACCCCCTCTTTGTGTGCCCTTGTGCAAGAGCCAGTCACAATTTCAGTCATGCTCTCTCTGGATGAGATTCATTGCTGTGCAGAGGTCCAGTATGAGGCACGTACAATAGTAAACAGTAATGTATTATTGTAGCATCTAGGAGCTCTAGTCATGGACCAAGACCCCATTGTGATTTAAAGACAGCCTCTGTCCCAAAGAAGTTACAATCATCACTTAAGTCCCCAGTTAAGCCAGGTATTTAAGCATTTGTCTACTTTTGACTACATGTGCTTAAGTGTTTTTCTGGTTGGAGCCCAAGTCCATTAGCTGGGAGCAGTAGTAGGATAATCTTCACTGTGGATTAGCCACAGAAGAAGTTCTGCAGCACAGAGTGGCTGTAGAATCTGATGCTTGGATTGATCTGTTTGATCACATGTTCAACAGCCATATGGGACTGTACTGTAAGCAACCCTTAGAAACAAGACAAACAGTTAAACAGGCTATGGGCTGGTCTACACTGGGAGGGGGGAATCGATCTAGGATACGCGACTTCAGCTACGAGAATAGCGTCGCTGAAGTCGACGTATCTTAGATCGACTTACCTCGCGTCCTCACGGCGCGGGATCGACAGCCGCGGCTCCCCCGTCGACTCCGCTTCCGCCTCTCGCTCTGGTGGAGTTCCGGAGTCGACGGGAAGCACATTCGGGGATCGATTACTACCCACCGATCCGGCGGGTAGTGAAGACGTACCCTATGAGGAGACATAAACTGAACCATATACTTGTTTTACCTTGTCTAATCTCTTAATAGACTCCCTATTGTTTGTATGTGATGTGCATGTCACGGCACGTATATAAATCAACAAGGAAGGAGATAGTGCTAAATAAAACTTCTGTTTTTAGATTTCAGTGGTGTCCGTAATTCATATTCCCGATGAGAGTTACAGACTTTCCTGCAGAATATTATATCAGTATCTACTTCTGGCCCAAGGTCAATTTCATGACCTTAAGGTAAGCTGTGTTCTGAGTCTTACTTCACTCTGCAGTATTCATTTAGTTTGTGTAGACGACAGTTACCCTAAATTGGTACAGTATCTAGCTTTTTCAGACTGTTAATATGCAAGGATCTGGATGATGGTTACATTTATCTTGTCACTAAATGAGTTCCATGCAAACTTACAATGCAACCTACATTCGTATCTGAAAATGTCTGAACTCTCCTACAGAAATCCCTTATTTTTATATATTTATATTCCAGGCAACCCCAGGCCCTCCTGATTTATCAAAGTGGTAGTAACAGATTGACAGGAATAATAGCTGCAAATATTAGAGTATTCAGAATGGGCC